AAAAGTATCCTTATAATCAATGCCTTCTCTTTGATTAAAGCCCTTAGCAGCAAGCCTAGCTTTATACATTTCTACCCGACCTTCAAAATTATACTTGGTCTTGAAAATCCATTTACAACTAATTGACCTATAGCCAGAAGATAGTTCATGTAAGTCCCATACTCAATTTTAACACATTGATGCCATCTCATCATGCATAGCGTCCATCCAAAATGAATATTTAGGACTATCAATGGCCTCCTTAAAAGAGGTTGGATCAAGAGATGTACCAACATCAAACTCATGCCCCTGCAAATAGACAACATAATTATCAGAAATTGTTGGTCTACGAATTATTTGTGATCTCCTCAAAACAATATCGTCAGTCCTCATATCAACATCAACCCTAGTGTGAATAATAGGGTCTAGGATAGCACCATTGGTTCCCTCCATCAATGGTGTTTCAACCTCTGGTGGAGGAGTAACCTGAACAGGTATAACAACACGTTCCTCCCTAAACACAACTTCACGAGGCGCGGAGCTCTCACTGTCACAAACATCCTCAAAGAAAATGACTCGATCAGATTCAACAATTCTGGTAACATTAGAAGGGCAATAGAATCTAGAGCCTCTTGATCCCACACAATAGCCAATAAAATATCCAGTGATGGTCTTAGGATCAAGTTTCTTCTGCTGAGGATAATAAGACTTTATTTCTGCTTTACAGCAGCAAACATGGAAATGACACAAACTAGGCCTTTTACCTGACAATAACTCATAAGGGGTTTTAAGAACCGACTTTCTTGGTAATTGATTCAGAATGTAGGCAGCAGTTCTTAAGGCCTCGCCCTATAAAAAATCAAGCAAAGTGGAATGACTAAGCATACACCGCATCATGTCCATAAGAGTAAGATTTCTTCTTTCTGCAATACCATTCTGTTGAGGAGTTCCAGGCATTGTGTACTGAGTCTCAATACCACATGCCTCGAGAAAACTAGCAAAAGGTCCGGGATTTCTACCAGTTTCATCATATCTCCCATAAAACTCACCTCCTCTATCAGATCTTACTGCCTTGATTTTCTTGTTTTTCTGGAGTTCCACGATAGCCTTGAAAGCTTTAAAAGCTTCCAATGAGTCTGACTTTTCTCAAATGAGCTCAATGTAACCATAACGAGAATAATCATCAATAAAGGTAATGAAGTATCTATAATTTCCTAAAGCGGCAGGTGAAATGGGACCACAAATATTAGTATGAATTAAATCCAGAATTTCCACACTTCTACTAATCTTTTGTTTTCTGGTTTTCACTGGAAGCTTCCCTTTGATACAAGCAACACAAGCTTCAAAATCAGAAAAATCTAAGTCAACTAGTATACCATCTTTAATCAACCTTTCCATTCTTTCTTTAGAAATATGACCCAGCCTTTTATGCCACGACATGGAAGAGTTTTCAATGGATCTGGTACGTTTAGAACCAACTACAACATTCACAACATATATACTAGAAGAAGTAGAATCTAAAGCAGGAAACAAGTTAATTCTATACAAACCATCATATAATGTAGCAGTACCAACCACAACAGAATTATAATAGATTGTACCCTTTCCATTTCCAAAATGAAAAACATATCCACATTTATCCAAAATAGAAACAGAGACAAGATTTCTTCTGATAGAAGGTATAAAAGCAGTATCAGACAAGTTCAAAACATGCTTAGAAGTCAAAAATGGGTCTCACTATTCCAATATGTTCAACTTTAACCTTCACCCCATTGCCCATGTTTACTACTGACTCTGTGTCAAGTGGCCTTCTGTGGTTCCTTAATTCCTGCAAAGAATTTGTAGTGTGAATGGTTGCACTTGTATCTAGCCACCAAGTATCAGAAGACGCATCGACTAGATTAGATTCAAAACACAGTAGTATCGAATGTGTACCTTTCTTATCTAATCAGGCCTTAAACTTCCTACAATCAACCTTCTTGTGCCTAAAAATATGACAGAAGTCACACTTGCCCTTGAAACCTTCCTTCTTAGACCCACCTGGAACACTTACGGTAGCTTGTTGAGGAGGTCTCCCAGATTTCTTCATCTTACTGAAGTTGCTATTAAAGTTGCTACTTTTACCTTTGAAAAATCTCTTCTTCCCTTTATCAGCAGTCACTATGAAAGTAGCATGAGACTTTGCCTTTTTCATCATCTCTTCTTCTTGAGTTACAATAGCAGCCATCTCACTCAAGTCTCATTCTTCTTTCTGAGCATTATAAGTAGTCTTGAGTGCATCAAACTGAGATGGCAATGATTCAAGTACTTGCCATATAAGAAAACTCTCTGCTAACTCAACTTTCATCCCTTTAGCTTGTTAAAGAAATGAGTAAACTTCATAATGTGCTCTCTAACTCCACTGACCCCATTGTAGGTTGTGGTAGTAAGAAGTTTCATCAAAGTTTCCTTTTCTGCCTTGTCAAATTTAGTAAATTTCTTCCCAACAGCCTTAAGATACTCTTTGGCATTATCTGTATCAGATATGCTCTACGTAATAGACTTGTCAATGGTATATTTCATGATCATAAGGCAAGTCCTATTAGAATGCACCCATTGCTCATAAAGAGTCTTTTCAACTGTAGTACTTTCACTAGTGGGTTTGGTAGGCGTATCAACCCTCAAAGCTAAAGCCAAATTCATAATGACCAAATTAATAGTGAGAGACTCACGTCAATCCTCATAATTTGTTCCAATTAGACTTTTGATGGCAGACAAAGAGAGAGACATAGCTCTATTGCCATAAGCTGAGGAGAATAAAATAAACAATTTATTAAACATATAGAATGACAGAAACATGCACCCATAAATGTATCCAATATGCAACTTTATGTTCATGCTGGAGTTTTATTCAAAATAACTCTTGCACACTATGCTAGAGCCCAAGACACACTCAAGGCTCTTACGCATGACAAAACAAAATAATTAAATACAAGGACTTAAGATGACCCACTATTGAGAGGATAGAATTTGACCACCAAGTGCCAAGTACTTAACTATTATCTTTGTCGTCCTATGCATCCAACCAAATAATGATTTACCGAAAGGGCAAATTCACTATCCGCATTGATCTTAGTAAAATATCATTTAGCGGAAGCATAAACGATATAACAATCCCGATAATTTATCATGACTAGTCCCACGAGAGATGAGTACATAACCACTCCAAACCATCGGCATACAACAAAATTATATAATCCACATGGACAAAATATTTATTCTACTCCAAAAAGGAAAGAAAAATAAATAAATAAAATTATCCATTTCTTTTCTCCAAAACAAATATGGAACAATATCACATAATTCATCAATGGGCACCTTAAAAATAAACATTTGTCAATTATAATAATAATAGATCTATTATTAAAATAATTATAATAATAACTCCCAGATTTACCTAGCATCAAGTGCACTCAAAACCTAATTGGGTGTTACCACAATTTCCACATTATTGGCTCCTGTTTAGTTTTCTTATTAAATGCTATTACTTTGGATTACTAGGGGGCAGTCTCTGTCCATCTTTTATTTACTTGTCTATCGAAGGGAGTTTTCAAACGTTTCGTGGTTGTTGAACTTTAACCTCTTCCAGAAAACAAAGCATTATAATTTAAAAAAGCCACTGTCCCGTTTCAAATCTTCATTTTGTCATGATTATATAATCAACAAATTCCAATTAAAGGAAAATTATCAATGAAACCTCCAAAATAATTACCAACAGAGCTATTTTGCAATGTAAAATGTCAGCTGTGAAAATGAGAAGGTTTGCTCTGATACCATTTGTTATAAAAATCAATTGATTTAATAATCCATTCTCATTGTCATAGCATGAACCCACAATAATAATAGGAAAAAAAAACATACCTCCAATGGCTTGAGATTGGCTTTCCATGCTATTCCTTTGACTGCAAAAGATCAAGAAGCATACAATGGAAAACTACTCTCTCACCCAAGCCCTAGAACCGTCCTCTTTTCTGTGGTCGAGATCATGAGGAAAAAAGGGGGCAACTTATATATATATATATAGTATTCAATGGGCCAATACTATATCAATTGGGTTGAAATTAGGGCCTCCAAATGTCTTAATAAAAAAAACCCATCCCATTATGGGCTCAAAATTGACCAATGAAATGCTAGTCCATCAAGAATAAATATAACACTGTTGCCATTACAAATCCTAGTCAATTTCTTCCTTGTTAACTGCAGATACATGGTTTTTAGTGGCCAAAATTTTCTTGATTTCCTCTTATATTGATTTGGAACATATTTTTGAAGATAGCTGCAGGCAAACATCTTATGGATCTTTATGCAGTAGACTGGCTCAAAGATACCAAACAAACGGACCACGTTGCCAGACGTCGTGGTTGTGCAGCACAATTAAGTTGCTCTAAGGGCAAGCAAAGTTTCTTTTAATTCATCTGCTTAGCTTGTTGTTTGCCTACATTATACACATTTACATTTTGATTAGTTTTTCAACTATTTCATAGCCAGGGTATTATAAAAAATGACCTCGTATTCATTTTTCTGTTGTAGGTTGCATCAATTTTCACAATTGTATTTAATTTGCAAGTAAGTTAATTATCTATTGGGTTTGAGAGATGTGATAACATTTGTCTTCCTCCTTCAAGGTGCCTGGATCAACACACTACAGCACGGATTTCTATTTCGTGATGAAGGAAATAATATCTGGATCTCATTTACAAGGGTTTGTTGATGGAGATGATGAGTTCCGCAATAGCAGACTGAAGCTTATTCTGTCTGTTCCCGAGGTAAACTCCTGCTCGTCTCCCCCTTGTCAAAATGTGCAACACTTTCTTCACTTCGCTTTTCAACTTTACTCTGTTGAGCAGTTGACTATAAATCACATTTGCGAATCATTTAGGGCTCTTGGATAGTACGTCAGAGTGTTGGAGGCACCCCATGTTTACTGAGGAAAGCAGTATAAAGATCTGCTATATATATATATATATATATATATATATATGTTCTATTCATCAATTCTTCTACTCCAAAATGTAAAGATCTGTTTTTGTTTGAAATATTCCATTCATGCAAGTAAAATACGGGCGCTGATTTCACATCCTTTTAGGTACTCAAGAATTGGAAATTGTATAACTTGGTAGTTTACTTTTGACATATACAACATTCTAGATTCCTATGAAATTGAGTTCTTTAAACTAATCAATCTTCTAGTATAAGATGATCAACCAGGAAAAAGTTATTTTTGTTACAGTTGTTGGGGAAAATTTATACCGTTAGGTGCATGCACAAATCATGCTGATGGAAGAATTTCCAGGGCCACTTCCTTGAGGGATGGCATCTCTTGTTGCTGATGCAAATAAACATATTTGTTTCTCACTTTCCTCAGAACTTTCCAAGGACCTGGATAGCACCTATACATACATATAGAGAGGGAGGGAGAGAGAGAGAGAGAGAGAGAAATGTTATGTTGATAAATTCATCAAAAGAAGCAATATAATGTTTGGTATGCAGTATTAGTAAATATTTTTCTTCAATACTATCAAAGCGTTATCTAATCTCCCTCAAATACACAGTCAAGTTTCCAGATGATCGATTTTAACTTTTAGAGAAGGGGAGGTCGACAAGTAACCAACCTAAAGAGGACTCCTCCGTTTCGTCCTTTGAAGTTGTGAATGTAATATACAGTCTCCATCTTAGGCAAGAAAGTTTGGGTAAGTGCAGCGAGTTTCGGATAGAAAAATGATGGATAATCTTAATGTAGTCATGGAAAACTTTGATAATCTTAAACAGGTATTTTTTCATCCAACAAAAGAGCTACAAGATTAGAAGCAGAGATTACTAAGTACGTGTTCGGCAAACTCAAATTATAATTTATGTTGGTCAAATGTACTTTCTATCCATACATTTCATAGGATTCACAACTATTATGTAATTATTATCCACATTCTATAGGGTTCATAACTTATCAGCCCTTAAAAGCACCGCCAAATATAATCTTATTACATAGAAAAACCACAGCCTTCTTTTCCTCGATTCACTATTTCGTAGTCTCCATCAAAACTAGCTCCCTTGTTTGCTCAGGACTCAAAATTTCGTTAACAAATCAGTACTAGGATCAGAAAACACACCTAAAATGGCAGAATTGAGCATGTTTGGCTAAGCTTAAATAGTTCACTTATAGTCTTATCTTTTTTTACTTTTTCCCTTTTTTTTTTTTTTGGGGGGGGGGGGGGGGGGGGGGGTGTTGTTGCTGTCAAAGCTGGAAATAAGTACTTTTGACAATAAGGTAAGAATACTATGCAGCACAGCAGAAGAGTATAATTGTGCAAAACAACTCAAAAATGTGTAAGAAAGGATACATCCCGATCTAATTCTGTCAAGTTCCCCATTGAATATAATTAGTTTCCTTGAAGTGTTCACTACAGCTTCTTTATAAAGCTCTTCCACCACAAGCATCTCTAGATTGAAAACAAGAATCAGATCGACATAAACAAATTTGGAAAGGAGAAAAAAGAAAAGAAATGGCTTGAATATCAAACAAGAGACCAAGAGTAAGCTTGTACCGTTGACATTAAAATATGGATAGGCGACTAGGAAGAGTTCATCTTCTGGCTTCACACGGTCGGACATTTTAACTTTTGATACAAACCCAAAATCTTCGAACAATGAAGGCTTTGTTAGATAGTCCAATTTTAGAGAAGCTCCTCCAAAAGCTGAATTTCTTGCAAATGTGACTTCACTGGCCTCTGGAAAAAACTGCAAGATTTCTGAAAGCGTTTAATGAACATGAACTCATATGAAAGAGTCAAAAAGTTGATGGGAAGAACAATAATAACAAAAATACAAACTGGCTGCAGAAACCTTGTACTTGGAGAAGATAATTGTGAAATGTAACATAGGAATAAAAGTCTGAAGAGTTAAAAGTAAGAGTACTGCTATTTAGTCCAATTGGGGTTACAACCCAATTTAGGTAGCGTTAACGTGACATTAAATGATAGGTGGAATTAAATAAATTATTATCCTAAAAGTAATGGATTGCTAAAATTTCAGACTCTTATTATTCCTTACATAATGCATCATTGGCAAAGTGAACCGTTACCTGAATTAGACTATTTTGAACATAAAAAGGCTACTGCTTCTACATTCAATAGCCTTTATTATTGAACAATGAACCAGGAGAATTAGATATCAATAGTTGTACGATGCTCAAAACAATGAAAGAACTGTGAACTCTTCAAAATCCATAGGTCTGCAGATCTCACTAGAACATTAAACATCCCCCTGCATAACAACCTACAGTTTTCAAGTTCCCATTCGTAAGTATTTATCATTTTAAAGTCGTAGACTTTCTGAAAGGAGAACTTTCTAGAGTTGAATTTGAGCATGTTATATATGTTGACCTCCGAACATGGCCAACAGGTGTCGTTAGAAGATAATGTACACGTGGACGTGTTTTATAGTATATATGCCGTAAATATGTGTGTATGTAGAATAAGAAGAAGATACATAATAGACAAATTTGTATGTATATATATTATGCTCCTCTTTCTTAGTTTTCTTTCTCTAGATTTCATCCCCCTAAATGATACAAGAATTGCTTATTTATAGTGATCAAACCTACGTGATAACCGTTGGATTGGATCCACGTGACCTGATCTATCGACCCTTAATGTCACGTCAACTCTATTTCACATTAATTACATTGACAGACTTTTGACAAGAGGTCAGTCACCCTACAAGCCTAGGCTAATATCCCTGACACTCATTAAATGGGCACGTTACATCAATCAACTCTGGAGATGTGCTTGCCAGACCCTCTTACGGTCGTCAAGAACTTCGGGTACTCAAGGAGTTTGGCAGCAAAAGGTAAACCACCTCAGAAGGAAGGACAGGACCACTTCAGCCTTGCCATGTGTGTGAATATGAGGCCTCCATGTGGGCCACTCTGTATAATCATTAACAATATCTACTTGGAAGGGTACTAATATTAAAACCGTAAAATTCTCCAAAAAAATTTTGGTTTATCATACCCATGCCCATGGATAAAACTCATAAACATTTCATTAGATACCGTGAAATATGAAAGTTCAAGACGTACAATTCTAGTCCGTGTGGCTTTCTCTGGACTTATGACAAGGTCACAGAATTCACGAATAAGCTGCATACTTCCAGTCATTTCTATACCGCCCTCACCATCACCTGATACAATCAAGACATTTGCAAGTGTAAAAACATCTTAATACAATTTGAAAGGTAGTTTCAGTGAGATAAAGTGGAAAGAAGATGACTACCTGGCACGGATTCTAATCCAGCAGTTGGGAACTCAATTTCCTGTGGCAGAAACTTTTTGCTCACAAACTCTGGAATTTTGAATGTGATATTGTTCATTTATATCTCCTTTTTCATTGCAAAAAGATAAAGACTGAGAAAGAAACAAACTAACTCACCATCAGTTGCTTGTCATCTTTTAGAGCCAATACAGTTGCTGCTTTAGCCTGTCAAGCATTAAAATGATCCTATGTTATTTAGGAAGTAATTATATTGCAAATCACCAACAGCTATTCCTACGCAACAAAGAGAATAAGGGACTCTTGTATGTTAATAATCTCTCAAATAAATACTAAAATTAGTTTCCCATTCTTAAATTGTTAAAAAAGGTCTATGGAACTTCATTTTCTTTTCCTCTTTAGATTCATCAAAACCTATTATTTCATAATGATACTCGGGATCGCAGAGGCGGAGCCAGGAGAGTATGAATGCATATAAGAAAAAAAGAAATTCCATAAATTTTATTTACATAAAAAAAGGGCTGCCCCTATCTCGGCCCCTGCTGGAACCAGTTAGAATTTTCATAATGGGTGGCGAAAACACCAAAAGAGGACTTAAATTCAGCATATGCATAAGAAATGTCTATAAAAGACTTACTTGCTGAAGAAGTTCGTTATAATCACCAGGAAATGGTACATCGAAATCGACTGATGAACCACCTTCCCCAGAAGCAGCAATATTCACAAAATCAAGTTTCTTCAGAATCTTCAATTTCCCTCCATCTTTCTTTATCGGAAACCCCCCAAAACAAAATCCCTAAATTGTGTTCAAACACAGCAAACAGTAATATTAACACAAAACTGATTATGTCAACTTTGAATGCATAAAAGTAGGACAAGAAAAATTAAGTACATTATAAAGCTTCTAATTTTCCCCAAAAAATTAAAAATTAGCAACAGTATGTTTGTGTCTCATGTCGCTTAACATCAACATTCAAGGCTACATCTTTTCAGATCAAACGAGCAATCGAACCGATTAAAGCTCAAACAAGTTCTCAAACGAGTCACAATTTTGTGGAGTATTCCAGGGTAAAATTCTAGAATTCGTGTACTTAATGGTTCAATTAAATATTCAAGAAAAATACAATTTCCAAAATTTAAATGTATTTCACAGAAAAAAAATGCTGAAAGAGTAAAAATTACCTTAGATTTTGATATAGCAGAGATTGGAATAGGAATCCCACAAACAGTTAACAGCATTTTGAAATCCAATGGGGATTTGAGTCATTGGATGCTAATAAACATGCACATTTGTCTGTATGAAATATGAACGTGCGGTTTTCATTTGGCTAAGGCTAAGTATAATTTGACTACAAAAATATTGCTCATTTTTTTGTTCTCTAAAAGTTTTTTCTTTTCTGCAAATTCATTATAGTACTCAGATAAATAAAAGAAAACAAATTCGATTGTCTTTTTATTTTAAAAAAAATAGATAATATTATTAAATTGAAAATTCATTGAAATACTTTTGAATTTGAGTGTCTATTCATTTAATATAATTGTTGCATAAACAAAAACTCTTTTAACTTACATGCCATATAGCAATCCCGATGTGATCCAAGAATCAAGTTTGAAGACGACGAGTTTGAGTTGAGACCCGTTGATTATCGAAGGCGGACCGATGATACGATCGAGAGCGAAGCAAGTGAAACAAACGATGGGATTGCTCGTTCAAGAAACCATTGAAGGGATGATATTCGGGACGCAAAATGGGACAACTTTCATGCTCAGATCGTTAGCCGAATCAAAGTGGATCAACTCAATACAAGCGAACAAAAATGTAGGCCAAAGTTCATGCTGTGCGACCACACAGCATAAAAGTCGTGCGATCGCACGACCCCGTCAAAACATAATTGAGGTAGCTTCAATGCCATCATGCGATCGTAAGGAAAACCACCATGCGATCGCATGGGTCACTTTCGAGGAGAAAACTTCATTTTTTCGCGAATTTCCTTATTTTGTTAGAATTTGATATCAATTAAACTTCTTTCCATATTTTGACGATTTTAGCTAAGTTTTTAGCTTTAGTATAAATACTATTTCAATTACATTGTAAACGACTTTTTGACAATTATTATTGAATTCAAGAGAGACTTTTGCTTTTCTTCCAATTTGTTCTTATTTGAACAATAAGTTAGAACTTATCAAGGATAATTCCTTGTGGCATTCAACACCAGATCGTGGGTTCTTCAATTTGTAAGCAAAGGGTCCATTACATCACCGTTATCTTTGGGTTCTTTGTTTCATCTTGTTGGGTTCAAATCCAAACTGGTTATCAATTGGCGTTCTTGAGTTCCGCATCAATATAGTTGTGAGTTTCGTAGTCTAAGTTGCTACGGGGTTCGTATCAGTTGGTATCGGAGCTTTGGTCCCAATTTAATCAGGTTCTATCTTTAATTTTCTTGTTTGGGTTGTAGTTTTCTTGATTTCCAAGTTTCTTCCTTGTTCTTAGGTCATTCTTCAATTCATTCCTTCAATTCGTATTTTTCGTTGGTGGTATAATCTCTTGTATTAAAAAAAAGTTACTGTTTATCCGGATATTAAAAGAAAATTACTGCTCACGTAAAAAAAAGAGTTTTTATTAATTACTTGATTTGCTACCAACAAGTTTACATTCAAATTTCTAAAGTCCAAAGTTCTATTTTCTTCAATTCTTCAATTTCGGCAATTGATCTGTTGAAATTTACTGAGTCCATTCAAATTTCATTCCATTTGTTTCCAAATCCCTTGAAAATTATTCTCTTGACTTACTTTTCGGGTTGAATCCGCAAGTTTTAATTCGGTGAGTTCGTTATTGTTCTTGGAAGCTCTTGGAGAAAGCATTGAGTGGTAAAAGGCAGAGTGGTGAGCTCATTAGAGGGTAAAAGCCAATTGTGTGATTCCGAGTGAATTTCGTGAGGCAGAAATTGAGAGAATGTCTGAACAAGAAGGTTCCAACTCAAGCTGACACGGCTATCACAGCAATGCATCGGAGGATTTGATACAGTGGTTTGAACTTGCTTTTGGGGTTGTTAGAGATAGGCTGAATCAACGGGATGCTTGGAGGGCTAAGCAGGAAGCTTGGATGACGAGGATGGATACATCAGTGGCTAATCTTAGTAGGAAGCTGTGGGCGAAGGTATCTAATGCCAGGAGACGGGAGCATAGGATGGAACGGAAATCATTTGATTTGGGCAGTGAATGGGATGATGAGGGATATGGAGAAGTAGGAATGAGACAGATGAGGAATAGAGGTAGTAGGCCTGAACGACGGGTTAGGAATAATCACGGAGATGAGGCGGACGGGAACATGGGCAATATCAAAATGTCCATTCCACAATTTAAGGGGAGGAGTGACTCAGAGACGTACTTGGAGTGGGATAGAAAGGTGGGATTAATTTTTGAGTGCTATAATTACTCGGAGGGGAAGAAGGTAAAATTAGCAGTGTTAGAGTTCATTGATTACACAATAACCTAGTGGGATCAAGTGGTTACTACACAGCGATGGTGTGGGGGAAGACCAATTAGTACTTGGGAGGATTTGAAGGCGTTGATGAGGAAGTGGTTCGTTCCTAACCACTACTATAGGGAGATCCATCAAAAGTTGCAGAGCCTGTATCAAGGGTCGAGGAGCGTAGAGGACTATTACAAGGAAATGAAAATACTCATGATCGGGCAAATGTGGTGGAGGATCGGGAAGCTATCATGGCACGGTTCTTAAACGGTCTAAATCGAGAAATTGCTAATATAGTGGAATTGCAGCATTAGGTGGAGCTAGAGGATATGTTGCATATAACCATGAAGGTGGAGAAACAAGTGAAGAGAAAGGAGACTGCGAGGCAGCCGGTGAATACTTAGTCTTCTAACCCAAATTGAAAGTCGAAGTAGGATGGTAATAATAAGGAGAGTGAAGCGGTAACCAAAGGAAGAAGTGAGTGGCAGAAGGGGAAAGATGGGAGGTCCATTACTCTTACACCATTAACACCGGCTCAGGTGTATGAAGACCAAATAAAACTGAGAAATGAGGAAGAAAGGCGAGCGAGAGAATCTACAAAATGGAGAGAAGATAGTGAGCCTGTGATTAAGAGAGAAAATAGCGAGGTGGCCAAAAATGGGGGAAAGAGAGAAAAGCCACATGAGAGGAAAGAAAAAGAGTCAACTAAGCGGAGAGAAAAAGGGTCAGTTGAGCGAAGAGAAAAAGAGTCAGCTGAACGGAGAGAAAAGCCAGAAGTGAACTTCTTTGCAAGGGGGAGTGAATTAAAAAAGGCTTTAAGTGATAAGAGATAAGTGTTGTTGTTAGTTTACAAGGAGTCTCTCCTCTCCCTTAAGGAGTCTAACACCTCCCTCCTTAGCATGGTTAAGTCTTTGTTACAGGATTTCGAAGATGTGTTCCAGGAAGAGGTGCCAAGTGGATTGCTACCAGTTCGAGGGTTCGAGCACCAAATCGACTTCATACCCGGGACTGTCATTCCAAACCGACTAGCTTACCGAAGCAATCCCGAGGAGACGAAGGAGCTTCTGAGACAAGTGGAGGAGTTGATGAGCAAAGGTTACGTGAGGAAGAGCATGAGCCCGTGTGCTGTGCCTATTCTATTGGTGCCAAAGAAGGATGAGACTTCGCGAATGTGCGTGGACTGCAGAGCTATCAACAACATTATGGTAAAGTATCGTCACCCTATTCCTAGGCTAGATGATATGCTTGATGAATTGTATGGTGCTTATGTTTTTAGTAAAATTGATTTTAAGAGCGAGTACCATCAAATTCGCATGGGGGAGGGTGATGAATGAAAAATGGCATTTAAAACTAAATATAGGTTATATGAGTGGTTGGTTATGCCGTTTGATCTCACAAATACACCGAGCACATTTATGCATTTAATGAATCATTTTTTACGAGCTTTCATAGGAAAATTTGTTGAAGTTTACTTTGATGACATTTTAATCTATAACAAAGACCTAGGTGAGCATTTAGATCATTTAAAGTACATGTTTGTTGTGTTAAGAAAGGAATAATTGTATGCTAATTTTAAAAAGTGCACGTTTTGCATGGATAGAGTTGTTTTCCTAGGATTTGTTGTTAGTGCTAATGGGGTAGAAGTGGATGAGGAAAAGATTAAAACTACTAAAGAATGACCAACACCTAAAAGTATAACTGAGGTTAGGAGCTTTAATGGCCTGGCTAGTTTTTATAGGCGCTTTGTGAAAGACTTTAGCACAATCAAGACATCATTAACTGAAATCGTTAAGAAAAGCGTAGGTTTTCACTAGGGTAAAACACAAGAACATGCATTTAACACCACTAAGGATAAGTTGTGTAAATCACCTGTTTTGGCATTACCTAACTTTGATAAAACGTTCGAGATTGAGTGTGATGCATTAGGGATAGGTATTGGAGTAGTGTTAATGCAGGAAAGGAGACCTATTGCTTACTTTAGGGAGAAGTTGAGTGGAGCTACACTGAACTACCCAACGTATGACAATTCCCTTGTTCAACCATTGGAGACTTGACAGCATCACTTGTGGCTTAAGGAGTTCGTGATACACACCGATCATGAGTCCTTAAAGTACTTGCGGGGTCAAGGTAAATTGAACAAGCGACATGCGAGGTGAATGGAGTTCATAGAGACGTTTTCATATGTCATCGGGTATAAGCAACGTAATGAAAACGTAATTGCAGATGCATTGTCGTGAAAGTACGTGCTTCTTAACTCTTTAAGTGCGAAATTACTTGGTTTTGAACATATTAAGAGCATGTATGAAAATGACATTGATTTCTCAAACATTTATAATTCATGTGCTAATACAGCTGTTGATGAATTTGATAGACATGAAGGATATTTGTTTAGGGAGAATAAGTTGTGCATTCCAAATTGTTCAATGCGTGAATTATTGGTAAGGGAAGCACACAATGGGGGTCTAATGGGTCATTTTGGGATTCAAAAGACTTTAGACATGTTAGGGGAACACTTTTATTGGCCTAAAATGCATAATGACGTAGAACGAATTTGTGAAAAGTGCATAACTTGTAAACAGGCTAAATAAATTTTTTTACCTCATGGCTTGTATACACCTTTACTTGTACCTAATGAACCTTGGGTGGATATTTCTATGAATTTTATGTTGGGTTACCTAGGACAAAGAAAGGTCGGGATTCTATCTTTGTAGTGGTTGATAGGTTTAGTAAAATGACATACTTCATACCATGTCACAAAATCGATAATGCCACTAACATTGCTGATTTATTCTTTAGGGAGATAGTACGTTTGCATGGAGTTCCTGAGAGTATTGTGTCGGACCGAGATGTTAAATTTTTGAGTCATTTCTGACGTGTTTTGTGGAATAAGTTAGGAACTAAATTGTTATTTTCTACAACTTGTCACCCACAAATGGATGGTCAAACTGAAGTAGTACATAAGACCATGACTCAATTGTTTCAAACAGTGATTAATAAGAATTTAAGAAATTTGGAAGATTGCTTGCCATTTATTGAGTTTGCTTATAATCGTGCTGTACATTTCACTATTTCTTATTCACCTTTTGAAATTGTGTATGGATTTAATCCACTAACTCCATTGGATTTATTTCCTTTGCCTGTGAATGAACGAGGTAGCATGGATGGTAAGAAAAAAAGTTGAGATGGTGAAGGCGCTTCATGAGAAGGTCCGTACGCAAATTGAAGAGAAGAACAAGCTCATCGCGTCAAAGGCAAATAAAGGGTAGAAGCGTGTGACATTTGAACCCGGAGATTGGGTGTGGTGCATTTCAAGAAGGAACGTTTTTTGGAGCAGCGAAAGTCCAAATTGCAACCGCGGGGAGATGGTTCTTTCCAAGTCTCCGAGAAGATCAACGATAATGCGTACAAAGTGGACTTTCCAGGTGAGTATAATGTATCGACTACATTTAACGTTGTTGATCTTTCCTTTTTCGATGCAGGTGCAGATTCGAGGACGAATTCTTTTGAAGAGGAAGGGGATGATGTGATCCAAGAATCAAGCTTGAAGACGGTGAGTTCGAGTCGAGACCCGTTAATTATCGAAGGCAGACCGATGATGCGATCGAGAGCAAAGCGAGTGAAACAAGTAATGAGATCGCTCGTTTCAAGAAACCATTGACGGGATGATATTCGGGACGCAAAATGGGACAACTTTTATGTTCAGGTCGTTAGCCGAATCAAAGTGGATCAACTAATACAAGCGGATGAAGACGGAGGGCAAAGTTCATGCTGTGCGACCGCACAGTATAAAAGTTGTGCGGCTGCACGACCCCCGCTAGAACATAATTGAGGTAGCTTCAATGCCACCATGCGACCGCAAGGAAAACCACTATGCGGCCGCATGGGTCACTTTTGAGGAGAAATTTTCATTTTTTCGCGAATTTTCTTATTTTGTTAGAATTTGATATTAATTAGAATTCTTTCCATATTTTGACGATTTTAGCTAGTTTTTAGCTTTAGTATAAATACTCACTTCATTACATTGTAAATGACCTTTTGACAATTATTATTGAATTCAAGAGAGGCTTTTTCTTTCTTCCAATTTGTTCTTCTTTGAACAATAATTTAGAACTTATCAAGGATAATTCATTGTGACGTTCAACACCGGATCATGGGTTCTTCAATTTGTAAGCAAGGGGTCCATTACATCACTGTTATCTTTGGGTTCTTTGTTTCATCTTGTTGGGTTCAAATCCAAACTGGTTATCAATTGACGTTCTTGGGTTCTGCATCAATATAGTTGTGGGTTTTGTAGTCTAAGTTGCTATGGGGTTCGCATCAAATCCATAGAAGATATTGAAGATGCTCTTATATGGCATCTAGCCATATAAAATAAAAAATAAAACACAAATGGAATATTCAACAAATCTTGTTGCAATTTTTTCAAATTTTTTTAACTAAATTTTAAAGCGAATGAAACATTCTATTCCATGTCGTCAATGAAACAATTTATTGTTACATTATCAACTATCAAAGCAGAGTTCGTAGATGTGATAACTTGTGCTTGTCGAGTCATTTTTTTAAAGAAGATTTTGAAGAACTTAATTTCGAAATGAACCTACTCAGACATATTGGAAAGGAAGGAATAGTTGATTTGATTTATTACAAAAGTAAAAATCATGCAACTGATATTTTCACCAAGCCCATGAAATTGGTTACATTTAAGAAATTAAGGAAGTTGCTCGATGTTTGTACAAGAGAAGATTCTTAAACTAAACGTTTGTAAACTTTTAAGTTTAAGGGGATGTTGACAATTTACTGATTAGTAGGTCTTTTTTATGTTATTCATTAATTTAGTAATTGTTATTTATTTTAATAGTGGAATCCTAATTTGTTAAGTGCGTTTTACACGTTTATTTAAGTCACAAAACATGGATAATTATTGGTAAATATGTTGGAATGTGGTTTAATTCTATATAAATTATGTTTTATAGGACAACATTGATGAATATAGCGAAATTTAGGAGAAAAAGGACCAAAATGGAAGAAAATCAAAGTTCAGGGATCAAAGTATAAATAGTCAAAGATGTCTCGAAAGAAGAAATGAAGAGGTGAAAGTGTCCAAAATCAATTAAGCAAAAGAATGAAGTATTGGAAGAAGAAGAAATAAGAAAAGAGGTCAAGAAATGAGAAAACGGAGTTCGAGAACTAAAACGCAAAGTTTGAAAGGTTAGCAATACTGTGTGGTCGCATAGTGATCGCATGGTCATTTTCAGAAAGATCCAAGGATAATTTTGCTTTGAACTATTCTATAGCATTGATTTTTTATTTGATTAAAATTTCGACGGAAAATATTTAATTTTCTTATTTGATTAAAATTCGTATGGAAACAAATATTGAGATACCTTTTAAAACCCTAGAGCCATCCATAAGTGTTCATTATGCATCATAACACATTCATAAGGGTTTTTAGAGCATATAAGGAGACAAGAAACTCGAAGATTCTAATTAAGATTTAAATTGGTGATATGGTTTCTTTAATACTTTTTTTTGTTTTCTTTTTTTTAACATGCTAGGCTAGATTTATTTATGTTAGAAAAATGATGAACCATGTGATATGAATTTTCAATATTTAGTTTTACATATTTGACATTAAAAACAGGTTTTTTTTTTTTAATATTGAATAGTTTATATGAATTTCCTTTCTCCACGATTATTGTGCGAGGTAATTGTGTGAATATGATGACTTATTTTATGTATTCGAATACAAATCATCATAGGGTTCGATAAGGTATAGAAATATTATGCTCTATGTGAATCTTTAAGTGTTCATAAAAAGTTCATTCATTCATATATATTCGCATCTATCATATAAATATAGTCCGATCATATATGAGAGTATGTTTAACATTACTCGAGAGGGATTATTGAATAAAATAGAAACATTGATTTTTAAAAATTCAATCGTGTTGTCAAATTGTAAAATTAAGATTAAAAATGATTATTGCATGGAAATTCAGGATCCTAAAACACTTGTTATTCATTAAAACACATCAACTTTCATTTAGTATACTTTGCATTTAATTTAGTTAATTAATTCATAATTGCACACATAACATTTGTTATAATTTCATCATAACAAACACATTGTATTATTCTTATTTCGGTTAAGGTCACGATACTTAAAATCGAACTAAATTAATCTCATTGGAATGATGCTTGGCCTCACATCCACAAAATATATTTTCATGAACAGCTAACATCCCTTATACATATATTTCTGCTAACTGTTTTGGAGCCAACTTTGCTGGTAATCTCTGTCTGATGGGAACCCTACTTCCTCCAAAAGACAAAGTATACATCTATGGAGATGGAAATAGTGATGGCAAATTAGCCCGCCCTGCCCCGCCCCGAATGGGGCAAAAAACCTGCCCCGTGAAATTATTATTATTTTTTTATTAAAATGTTAGGTTTCAACTTGCTTCAAATAGAAGAATGTGACCTATTTTCTAGTATTCTCAATTGTACAAATCTTATCAAACTTGACTAATTTATATATACCATTATGTTACTTTGTCAAATTGATATTATATTGATAAAAACAAATATAAAAAAATATACCATGTTCAATTGAACAAATTTGAAAATCTATATATTGTAATAATTTAAAGTGTGTGGGGTTACAACTTTTGTGACAATATCAAAGGAAAAAACACAAAAAACTTTATTCATCCTAATAATCAATGGTGTGTACCAATAGTGACCATTATATTTAAGATTTGTAGTGTTTGTTTTGAATATTAACTTTGTCAGCTTGAATGTTATCTGTATTTTATTGAACTCAAAAAAAAAAGGTGGGCGAGGGGGGGGGGGCAAGCCCACTGCCCCGCCCCGTCGACGGGGCGATGGAAAATGTTAAAAGTATATACAAAACATACTTTTGTTACATCGAGAAAATTACACCGATACCATTTACCACAAAAACAAGCACTTAAGAAAATCGCGTACTCGGTACTCCTATTTTGTTCTATTCCTCGGCACAAGAAAATGTAAGACAATTTGGCTTTTTGATCTATGGAATAAAATTAGTATCTTCGAGTAATTTTATTTGGTTGTAAAAATGGTCAAAAGCTATCAGTTATATTCACAACATCAAAAATATAATAGATTTTGCACCTAATTCCTGATAAAGAAGGATGTCTACTTGTGTGCTTTCGTCAATAGTCTCTGAACGGCGTAAGTTTTTATGTTTATTTTTATTTTGTTAAAAAAAATTGTCTGAATCACAAGTTGTAGCAGTCTTGTTCATTTCAACAACGTTATTTATTTTTGTGATTTCGAAATTTGAGTAGTTTTATACAAGCTTTTTAAATTTTGCATCAATCATGAAAGCAATCTATATCGATTGAGAGATATAGCAACATACACGATTAAGTCCATTGATGATCCTCGTACATTGAACAAGACATTGTACCCTCGACCACCAGAAAACATCCTCACTCAAACGCAGCTAGTCGAAAAATGGGAAAAGCTTACAGGAAAAACGCTAGAGAAAATCAGCATTCTGCAGAAGACTTCTTATCTAAGATCAAAGGTATAATTTCTTACTATACATATTTTATGTTATTTTTTCTTGCAATATTCAGATTTTTTGAATTTCATATCGTGTAAAATGCTGAGGTAGATTTTGTGGAACAAGTAGGATTGCGGCATTTCTATGACATTTTCTATGAAGGATGCTTAACAAACTTTGAAATAGGAGAGAATGGGGCAGAAGCCTCAGATCTTTATCCAGAAGTTCAACATACCCGAATCCAAGAATACTTAAAAGCGTTCTCTCTAATGTCACCGTTGGCTATGAATTAACTTTTGTTCACTTATGCTGTCAAAAACTAGCTATATGTCGAGTGTGACTTTTCATTGCATTTTATTTTGGTATTCTCGAAGAACATTTTGAATCGAGTTTCATTTAATATATGAAAAGATAATCATCTTGATTGAAGTTAAGATCTCACTTAGGGCTGAGACTGTTATCTCCTTGCTATCTCCTTGCAATTTCTTGATTCCTGGCGATTATTTTCAATCTTTTGATTTAACAATCGTTCAAGACAACTGGGGTCATTTTTATCAAGCAAAAGAATAATCTCATATGCTATTCCTTTAGAACTTAACACGAGAAAAATAAAGAAGTAGGTACAATAGTTGACACTGTAAATTTCCTGGACAAAAAATTCACATCTAGATTTTCATGATCTCCATATAATGATGTCACGCTCTTTTAACAACTAGCATTCCCAAGGGAAATATTGTTGGTGCCGAGCTTATTTGTGAGCGGTAAAGATGGTTGTTTGTGAGTGCATTTTAAATCACAAATTTATGAAATGGAAATGTAGTACAAAATCATAAAACCAAATAAGAAAATTAAAATAAGGAGTAGAAAACGAAGATTAAATCCGAGGCAAGTGTATTCACTCTCTCCTTAAGACAATATTGCCCCGCTACGGTGCTCACGGTTGGCGGCAATTGTCTCCCAAGATACAACGGATTCGATTTGTGGTAGTAGCACTTCAAACCACAAATCCGGCGAACTTTTGACGGAGTTTCCCCTCTACCAGGAATATAATATATGAAAAGAGATGAAGAAGAAGAGAATTGCAATTTTGAGAAGAATGAATGCTCAATATGCAAATAGTGTACTCTCAAAGTCATCCAAGGGGTCCTTTATATAGAGAATGGAGTGGTGTGATGAAAGGATTTGAGCTAAACCATGCAACCTTCCAAACAGGTGCCACTATTCCAAAACCACAATTTCTCATTCATTTTTGAATTGGTTTATTAATAAACACCATTTCCAACAATCCCCCACATGAATGAAAATTCGAGTACATAAGTATCATGCAATGCAATGATGATGCATTATGCATTGTAGAGAATAAGCGGAAAAACACTGCATCAGGTAAGGTAGCTTCTGGCTTTGAACCTCCCTTAGTGAAATACTATCGGACTTACTCGGCTAATTGGTGAACGTGATGTCTTGAACCATTCAGCCTTTGGTGTAAGCCAAGACAACAATACTCACACAGATGTCTTCCCTATTCCGTCGTTGTTCTCATGACTTGGTTCATTTTGGCCTTGAACCCTTCTTGGTTCTGCAAGTGTTTTGAGAATTTAAGCATTTTAATAATTCTCATTGAAGCGGCCCCACTTCACACTTACATAGGTGACCTCCTATAAAGAGTATTCTGCCCTACTCCACTTGACTTAATCAAGATATAGGAATCATTAAAAGATTATCTTAACCTCTTCCAACTCTGCAGAAAGCACTTTGGTATCATAGGAATGAGTTAGGAAATTATTTCCTAAGTGTTTCATGGAATCCTCATAACTTAGTTGTCCCTTTGAACCAAGATCTTGGGATCTCCAGTCAACAAGGTAGGATTACCATTACAAGGACTCTAACGTAGTAGGCTTTACCTCATTCCCTTCGATATGCAGTATTCTTGATCTCTCCTAGTAAATCTCTTTAAAGGTACCACGAGTTTACACCATTGAGATCAACTGCTTGGCGGTATTATGTCTTACCGTTACATGTGACTTAGTATCTTTATCAAATGTAGCTGGCCAGCGATTGATTTATTTAATAGATACACATTGTCACAGCCAAGAAATCCTCTCATGAAGTTACATGCTTCTTATTAGCTTTATCTAAAGCTATTTCAAACGCGATTGGAGGATTTTCTTATAGTTGAAGGGTGTTCAATTTCTAATATTGAATTGTCACAGTGTATTTGAACCTTATGAATATTCTTCAAATATTT